GCTACAGTTGTCTTATTCCTCTTGTTAAGCCACTCCTGAACCACAGACAACGTCGGAGGCGGCTTACCTGGTCTAAGGAGAAGAAGAACTGGACTGTTGCCCAGTGGTCCAAAGTCCTCTTTTCAGATGAGAGCAAGTTTTGTATTTCATTTGGAAACCAAGGTCCTAGAGTCTGGAGGAAGGGTGGAGAAGCTCATAGCCCAAGTTGCTTGAAGTCCAGTGTTAAGTTTCCACAGTCTTTGATGATTTGGGGTGCAATGTCATCTGCTGGTGTTGTGTTTTTTGGTTTTTTGAAAACCAACGTCACTGCACCCGTCTACCAAGAAATTTTGGAGCACTTCATGCTTCCTTCTGCTTTTTGAAGATTTGAAGATGCTGATTTCATTTTCATTTCATGGCCCACGCTGCCAAAAGCCCCAAAAGCTGGTTAAATGACCATGGTGTTGGTGTGCTTGCCTGGCCAGCAAACTCACCAGACCTGAACCCTATAGAGAATCTATGGGGTATTGTCAAGAGGAAAATGAGAAACAAGAGACCAAAAAATGTAGATGAGCTGAAGGCCACTGTCAAAGAAACCTGGGCTTCCATACCACCTCAGCAGTGCCACAAACTGATCGCCTCCATGCCACGCCGAATTGAGGCAGTAATTAAAGCAAAAGGAGCCCCTACCAAGTATTGAGTACATGTACAGTAAATGAACATACTTTCCAGAAGGCCAACAATTCACTAAAAATGTTTTTTTTTATTGGTCTTATGAAGTATTCTAATTTGTTGAGATAGTGAATTGGTGGGTTTTTGTTAAATGTGAGCCAAAATCATCACAATTAAAAGAACCAAAGACTTAAACTACTTCAGTCTGTGTGCATTGAATTTATTTAATACACGAGTTTCACAATTTGAGTTGAATTATTGAAATAAATGAACTTTTCCACGACATTCTAATTTATTGAGATGCACCTGTATATATTTCTGACACTTGGTTCAACAAATTAAACCAAAGAAATGATTGACGCATCAATATTACAAATCTATTATGGTTAAATCAAAACGGCTTGATTATTGAGAGGTTGTTTGAGGATTTTTTTTAAAAAAAGTAGTGAATAGATTTTTATCATTGTAGGGTGGTTGTGCACACATTTATATGCAAACACCGTGAATTTTCAGCATCATTACTCCAGTCTTCAGTGTCACATGATCCTTCAGAAATCATTTGAAAAAATTATCAGTGTTGAAAACAGTTGTGCGGCTTCATTTTTTTTTTTCAGGATTCTTGTATGAATAGAAAGTTCAAAAGAACAATTTTTTTTTTATGTTGTCACTTGTAATTAATTTGATTGGATCCTTGCAGAAATAAAAGTTTTAATAAAATAATTTCTTAATAAAAAAAAGTCTTACCCCAAATTTTTGAACGGTCAAATATTTACAACATTTTGTAAAATTCTAAAGAATTTTTACCTTTCATACTGACTTGAAATGTGTGTCTAAATTAAGTAGTTCCCTTGATGCCATAAAAGCTGATGTCCTTCTTCTTGTTTCTAGCTGACAGACCTGTGCGGGTGTACGCTGATGGCATCTTCGACATGTTCCACTCAGGACATGCCCGCGCTCTCATGCAGGCTAAATGCCTTTTCCCAAACACTCATCTAATTGTAGGTGGTAAGTAATACTGAGCAGCTTCGGCACTTTAACTTTAGAGAGTCCTGAGAGCACAGTGTCTGTCGAGTTATTGAACTGTTTATCATTCTGATCATTTAGCACAGAGTCCATCTTAATGTCAGAGCTGTATTTAGCACCTCTCTCTCGTGCCTCTCTGCAGTGTGTAGTGATGACCTAACACACAAGTTAAAGGGCTTCACGGTCATGAACGAAGATGAACGCTATGACGCTGTTAGTCACTGTCGCTATGTGGACGAGGTGGTCCGGAATGCTCCGTGGACTCTCACGCCCGAGTTCCTCACCAAGCATCGGGTAAGACGAGAGAGAACTGAGCAGTAGTATAATACATATATTAATGTTGGAGGACGAAAGTAAAATAAGAACCAAGCAGTGAGCCAATTAATTGTGTCTTTATGTAATGACAGATTGTGTTTTTTGATACCTAAGATTGACTTTGTGGCCCATGATGATATCCCATACTGCTCAGCTGACAGTGATGATGTTTACAAGCACATCAAAGAAGCAGGTGAGGACAACAGCTTCAGGCTTTTGATGCAGAAATCAATCTTTGCATCTGAAATTTCAGAGTATGTACTATAATCAATGAAGAGCTTATTATTTTAAAGGTAAAGTATGGAGTTTTTGTGCAAATAGTGACAACTAGAGGAGTTACAAAAATAAAGCACATTTGCAAATGCCCCTCCTAATGATTCTTCTGATTTTTTTACTGTTTTATATGGGGCTTTTACAGTAAATAGCTAGCATCTGTGGCAAAACCTGAGTTTAGCTTACCTGTCGAGAAGACACTCTGCTAGTTTGGCATCTCGATTGAAACCCAAATTCTCCATCATATTCCTCCATCTCGTAAAAGAACTACAAATGTTTACCCTTGTTTTACCCAAGCGGCAACCTCCCGCTCTCTCTCGTGAAGCCAACACGGAAGTGACTTAAACTGTAATTCGTCATCTGGCCGCTAGAGGCTGGCTGCAAAAGGGAGTCAATCCCATAGACTCCCCGTGAAAATGCCCAACTTTACAGCGGAAAAAAACATGTTTACAGCCTGGTTCAAAAAATTATTTTGGTCTATATAGCTAACTGTGAGGGGGGTGATTTTTTTATAACTCATCCGTATAAATTATATTAAGCCTTAAAGTTCTGCATAATTAAGGGTGTGGCCACTTGAGTGACAGGTGGATTGCTGCTGCTGTCACCACCGTCGAGCTAGGTGGGCGTGGCTTCAGCAACCAGCTCCCGCCTTTTTGCCCATTTTCGATTATCCTGGAGTGATGCGCGGCTGCCAAGATGGCGACGGCCGGCTCCGCCCACTTTGAGCTTCAAAAACGCTCTTCAGAAAACTGCGGGTGACGTCACGGACACTACATCCATGTTTTTATACAGTCTATGGTGTTTACCCCGTTGTCTGTCTCTGTGTATTTTGGCTAGCATTTCTGTAAACAAATCTGAATATCTTTTCCAATGTAATACATCAGTCATGGTCCCACACTGACACTGACTAAACACCCTCTGGCTCAGCCTGCTACAGTAGCCACGCCCCTAAACTCTCGCTATTGGTTGAGCTGGAAAGAGATTGACTGATCTGATTGGACCACACTGAAAGTTTCCATGGTGCCTGGGAGGCTCAATATTTACAGTTTTAGGGCATATTTATAATAATCCGTGAACAATAAACTGGGTTAAGAGAATGTATTTTGACAAAAAGTTGGTTAGTTAAAAAAACGCATGTCCTTGTTCTTAATTGGCATGCTAATCTTTACAATGGTTTCCTTTTCATTTTGGGCCTGCACAGGAATGTTTGCACCAACCCAACGCACAGAGGGCATTTCCACCTCTGACATCATTACACGCATTGTACGAGATTATGACGTCTACGTCAGACGGAATCTTCAGCGTGGCTACACTGCAAAAGAGCTAAACGTCAGCTTCATCAATGTGAGCCTTCATTCGGTTACTAGTAGAGCATGATCTCAAGATTAAGACTAGTTACCAGAAATGAGATTTTCTTAGTCAGTCATCAGTTATTGTGCATTATTACCAACACACAGGAAAAGAAGTACCACCTTCAGGAGCGTGTGGACAAGGTGAAGAAGAAGGTGAAGGACGTGGAGGAGAAGAGTAAAGAATTTGTGCAGAAGGTGGAGGAGAAGAGCATCGACCTGATCCAGAAATGGGAAGAGAAGTCCCGCGAGTTCATCGGCAACTTCCTGCAGATGTTTGGACCTGAGGGGGCATTGGTGGGTATCTCTTTACCTATAGCTCTGTCCCAGAGCTTCACTGTCAGCATCATAAGAGTCGACATGAAGTGACATGAAGCACACGTGGCATGCGACCCTCAGTCGTTTCCAGACTAGTTTGATGTTAGCATGTTGAAACACTAATGATGTAGTACTTTTTTTTTAAGCTTGAAACTGTGTATTTTAGGTAAAAGTCTATTTTTTATTTGAGATATACCCACAGGCAGCAGCTATCAGGTTCTAAGCACCAATAGGTAAAATAAATAGGTGATACAGTTTAGGGGCCCTTCGCACAGAACAAATCTTTTTTCTTTCCAATGCGAATACTTTTCCATAGTTTTTCTATGTAAACGCACTAGACAGACATGTATGACCATTGCGCTCACGTCTGGTGTCTTGTGCAACTTTTACACGCAGTGTAAGTTCCAAAACTGTGGACCAATCAGAAGACCCCGGAGGCGGGGCAAATGTTGCAAGCTTTTGTTTACAGTAGCAAGTTGGCATGGAAACGGTTTTATTTGACGGCAAAATGGCGGAGGAGGCATTCTGCACTGTGCTTTTGTAAAACCATTCCGGAGCGCCGCGTCTCATGTTTTTAGATACAAAGACGCATTGTGTGAACGGCCCCTTAGAACGACAAACCGGTGAATAAATGAAGACAGCCATTAGCCAAAGCTGTCATTCGCAACCTCTAATTCCCAAACTTTTTATTTGCAAACTATTTATATACAGAAACTGGAAGTGACAGTATATTCAGTAAATAATTCCGTAATTCCAATCACTGAATGTTCTTCACAGTTTACACTTTTTAACAATGAATTTACATAACTTGTCTCGTTTGTGATAACAGACTTACTTGCCTGATTTTATTAATTTCCATGATTTTTCCAGAATTCCCGCTTTTAAAATCCCCTCATACAGTATATCCAGTTGGTCCAAAATCATGAGAAGCCCAGTTCTTGAAAATGGCAGTTGTTAAGGGAATGAATTAAAATAAGAAATACGATTTTCATATCACGTACATCTTGATTCCACTCAAGGTCTTATAATGGCTTTGTCTTCCTCTCTAACAGAAGCACATGCTGAAGGAGGGTAAAGGGCGAATGCTTCAGGCCATCAGTCCACGGCACAGTCCCAGCAGCAGTCCCACACGTGAGCGTTCCCCGTCTCCATCCTTCCGTCTGCCCTTCTTCACCAAAACCTCCCCGCCCTCCTCGCCCTCGTCACATCACAGCAGCGCCCTGTCTGGCTACACCTACACCGCCTGCGGACAGGCCATCAGCGAAGATGATGAGGACAACGAAGATTAGAGTGTCACAGCACACCACACATCTGTCTTCCAATACCGGCAATCCAACCTCAGAAACGAAACAATCCTTTAACGACCCATCGGTTTCGTTCTCTGTATTATGAAGGGTTAAAATTTAGTTTTTAAAGGGTTAGTTCACCCAAAAATGAAAGTTCTGTCATTAATTACTCGTCCTCATGTCGTTCTAAACCCGCGTGACGCAGCTGACACAGAATAGCATACGCTGTTAACGTTCAGTGGATACTCTCCAAAATGGCGCCAGGGTGACGCGGAGGAGACGAATTGTTGAATAAAGTCGTTATTTTTGTTTTCTTTGCGTACAAAAAGTATTCTCGTAGCTTCGTAAAATTACAGTTGAACCCCTGATGTCACATGGATTATTTTACAGATCTCCTTGCTACGTTTCTGGACCTTGATCGGGTTACTTACGGGTTTAGAACGACATGAGGGTGAGTAATTAATGACAGAATTTTCATTTTTGGGTGAACTAACCCTTTAAGTCATCGTCAGCGATGGGATGCGAGTATTCAAACTTCAGCGTCTCGTCTCGAATCATGCTGGATTGGCAGGGATTTTTGTGTTTTAAAATGAGTGCACATGGTATTAATACATTTCATTTTTGTTTTAAGTTCACTTTTAATGTTCTTACCGTAATCTCTAATTGTTAGACATCTCATAAGTCATGTGTCTCGTGGAATGGCCGAGATTTGATGTCTAATGTTGAGAACGCTGCAAGGCACTGTAAGATAAATGCAGTTATCTAAATACAAGAGCTAAAAAAAGTGGAAATTATTTGTCTGTATCGCAAGGTGCATAATCAGTGTTGTCGTGGTTAATAATTATGCAAATTAGAAAAATACGCCAATATTATACAGGCATGACTGAGTGGAAAATGATAGTTTGCCTACTTGAATTTGGTGTGTCATGCTTTAGTAAAGGTCAGAATTCCAAATTTGAACACTGTATTTCAAATATATATGCTTGATAACATAAAGAGTTGATTGTTTTTACTGTAAAAATGAAAGTATATAATTTCATAGTTCACTTTTAATGTTCTTACCGTAATCTCTAATTGTTAGACATCTCATAAGTCATGTGTCTCGTGGAATGGCCGAGATTTGATGTCTAATGTTGAGAACGCTGCAAGGCACTGTAAGATAAATGCAGTTATCAAAATACAAGAGCTAAAAAAAGTGGAAATTATTTGTCTGTATCGCAAGGTGCATAATCAGTGTTGTCGTGGTTAATAATTCTGCAAATTCTTTTGAAGTCAAACCAACGGAGGTGTCGATAATTGTTAATGAATTAAATGAAACCACTTTTGGGTTAAATACAACTTAAACTCAAGAGTCGGTTGGTGTCCAGTGTGACAGAAAATAATTTGGCCTAAAACAAAACTAAAATCTGTTGTTACACAAAATATAATTTTCTATCATTGTTTTAAGAGTTATGCTGTCAGTTGTTGATCAGTTGAGGGACAAAATGATGAATGGCATCGTGAACTTGTATTTAACCCTGTACATTCACTTTGAAGAGCCATTCACCATTTTTTATGTACATGTCAGTTTTAGACAGTATGTGTTTAAATTGAGATTGTACCACCAGTGATTATGATATCTGCATTCTGTTCTCATTTCATAATTTGATGTGAGGCAGAGGCTCAACAAACCGCTGTCCAGACTTGCACTGATGTCAGAATTCAACTATTGGTCTGCAAATAGTTGATGCTTCATTTTCATGGTAATGTGTGTTTTTCCAGCCTCTGACTTTTCCTTTGCACAAATTAAGGGAATCTAGCTGAGATTATTTTATTAATTTAGCCTTGTCCTGTTAGCCTTGTATTGTACAGGATGTCAACAGAGACAGGAAGACAAATAAAGTGTCTAATGTAAAAGATGTTGTAATTTTTTTTCTGCAATTTAAATTGCTACCAAGATGTAACATTTACTTACGAAAAACACAGCACAGTAAAAATATTAAATATTTAATTGTTCCAAGTTACATGACAAAAATTTTAGTAACGTAATCCATTACGCATTTTAAGTAACATAATCGGACTACTTTTAGATTACTTTTGATGTAACGCGTTCGTTCGTAAAGATACTTAAAGGTTAATGACTTTAATGAAAAGCTGCTAATAAAATCATAAATATTTTATAAAATAGAATAGCAACAATCAAAACGCTTCCTAAATGAGACTAAATATTTAATTTGTTTACCTGCATGTCATGTGACCATTAACCAACATCAGAGAACCATGAACATGTAAATGTATTAAATATGAACTTATTACATTTAAATCTCGGGTACTTCAAGTAAATACACTAGATTAGGTGAAAGAGGTTCTGCTGGCAAAAAAGTTTGGCAATCCCTGCATTACGTGTGAATTTGTTTGAAGGACAAAAGCCTTCCAAAGACAGTAAAACATGGTTAAATATATCCCATAATTCAAATAAAAATCAACGTTTTCATCAGTAGTTGATGCAATGTTAAAAAAAACAAAATTGAAATGATTTTTGTAAATCCATTGGTCAAATGCGGAGTATTTTCTGTGTAATTATAGCCACCTGACTACTAGTGACTGGTCTTTGCGCGAATGTTTGCAAAACTGGAAGACTTTCTGAATGTATAAGCGGTAGGCTATTTTAGAAGGGGAAATGTAAAGGATGAAAAGAAAAAAAAATTAGGGAGAATCAATGAATTATGAATAAATTATTGCTATTGTGTGAATAATAATCATGTAATCAATAAAAAAGTAACTGTAGTCTGATTACAAGTATTTTGAAATGTAATATCTAATTACGTAATCCAGATGACTTAATTAGTTAGTACCCAGCACTGGACATGTGATGTGCAAACTGAAGAAAAAGGAAAATACACACCAACACAATGTTTTTTCTTCCCATTATATATTTATATTGAACTAAACGGTCACGGAGAGATAGCAATAAGATACTGAGAGTATGACCAATGGGCGATAACCAACGACAAAATGGACAGTGGTCCCGTAAGACTGACTACAGCGAAACAGGAAGCTGGGCTTTGACTGACTGACAGACACACACTGCACTGCCCTCCACTGGAACGGTTCATTACAGCACTCGTACAAACAAATACAGTTAACTACATGTCACATTTTGCATATTTTTTGTAATTAGCCTTTTTAATTCATCCACAAATCTTGAGGAGAAGGAAGGAGCTCAGCGGCTCATTAGCAGCGCGTCTCGTAGATTCCGCTGCGTCCGATGTATCGCACCCATTTAATCACATCGTGGTCACTGTAGTTGAGTTTCGACTCGAATACCTTCAGGTAACGCACCTTCAGCCCCGAGGGAGCAAACGGAACCTGAGTCAGAGGAAGACAACGGAGGAAATACATCAGAAATGTGTGCCAGGAAAAGGGTACTAATTGTTGACAAGTGGATAGGTCAGACAAACTATTATTTTACATAAAATAAAAGACAATAATAATATATTTACTGGTGCTGTCAAACGATTAATCGCATCCAAAATAAGTTTTTTTTTGTTTTTTTTTACATAATATATGCGTGTATGCTGTGTTTATTTATATTGTATATATAAATACAAACACATGCATGTATATATTAAATGTTTATATATTAAATATATTTATATATAATATAAATGTATATACATGCAAATATTTTCTAAATATATACTGTGTGTGTATTTATATACACATAAATATACACATACATATATTATGAGGTTTACCTCTTTTATTTTGGATGCGATTAATCGCGATTAATCGTTTGACAGCACTAATAAACTGTATATGAAAAAGTAATTCATTTTAATCTAACGTTTGTATAAATCTCCCCTAAAAATGTAACCGATAATAAAAATCAACATTAATCTGTTAGCTTACTGGGGAAAAAAAAAAAGATTCAAGCTAACATTCTTTTATTCATTAGAAATAAGTAGGTAAATAGATCATTTTAGTTGATTTTTATTTACAAATATTTATATTGACTGCTAAATTAAATCACACAAATCAAGGTTGAGGCAAATCAACAGTTTTTTAGTTAAAAAAGAAGCACCACAAACCTAATATAAATATTAAAATATCAACTCATTCAACCCTGATAGTCAACTTATTGAGGAAAAAAAGCACATGCTAGTAATAGTTTTCTGATCAATTTTTTATTTATTGCTAAACTAAAATCACGCAAATCAAGGTTTTAAACTATTCAAAGATGTCCAAGTTTCTCATAAATCTCATTATAAAAAAAAATTCAAACAAATTAATTTAACCTTGTTACTCCGCTTTTGGACAAAAAAGACCAAGTTGTTTTTTTTTTTAATGAGAAATATGAGTTTGTAAATAGATTTTTTGACTGCTACATTAAAGGGGTCATATGATGCGATTTCAAGTTTTGCTTTCTCTTTGGAGTGTTACAAGCTGATTGTGCATAGATAAGATCCCTGAAGTTGCAAAGACTAAAGTCTCAAAACCAAAGAGATATTCTTTATCAAAGTTAAGACTCTGCCACGCCCCCCTAAAACGGCCTCGTTCTAACACGCCCCCACATATCTACATCACTATGTGGGAATATTAGCATAATGCTGCACAAATGTTCACACAAAGAAAGAAAGCATGGTTTCAGTAACTGCAGTTAGTGTTGAAGCAGCATGTCAGGGAGACGCTGTGTGTTTCTAGGCGAAAGCAAAAGCACTTTATTTGGCCTTCCGGAAGTAGATGCATTTAGGAATCTTTAAGATTACTTACAACAGAACAGCAATGCATTTTATGGACGACCGTTTCGTGAACCTAGGAGAGGAGGTCATTCTGACTTTGCTATGACAATCTGGCGCTTCTGAATCAGCTACTGTTTTGTTATTAGTTTAAGTATTTGCTATTGACTGTTCAAATGTAGAGTTTTGTGCATCGTGTGTGTGTGTGTTTGCGCGTGCGCGCGCGCGCGAGAGGTGTGTGTGTGTGCGCGCGTGCATGCGAGAGCGAGAGAGAGAGAGAGAGAGAGAGAGAGAGAGAGGGTCACATCACAGTGGAGTGAGCTGTCTTAACCGTGGCTTGTGTACTGCAAACACATACCAGCTTCATCACTGTGTCTGTCACGCGACTCTGTTCCCCTTTCGGGCTCTGTCTTTACATTTATTTAGCAAGATGAAGCTCGTGATTATGGTAAGGGGTGTTACATTTCCGACGAGTGCTTGTGGTGTTTGGCCAATCAAAATGCACTGGGTCAGCTGGCCAATCAGAGCAGACTGCGCTTGTCGGAAGGAGGGGCTTTGTAGAAAACGAAGCGTTTGAGAGAGGCGGGGCATAGAGGACCTACAATAATGTACAGTATTTGAAAAATAATGTGGTTTTTGAACATTAAAGCATGTCAACATATTCTGTTACACCACATAAAGATCTTTAAAAAAAGCATCATATGACCCCTTTAAGTCACAAAAATCAGGGTTTTAAAGTGTATTCAAACATGGCCAAATTTAACTTTAAAGTAAAGAAATAAACAGAAAATAAAATGGCTAACATAATATTTAGTTTGATATCCTAAGGTGGACGAACAGCATTTCCTGAATGCACCTCCTTTCACTGACCATTTGTTGAGAAAACAACCTTACTGTGTACCATTTATGTATAAAGTAAGTGGCATTTAACAATGTGGGTCTGGTCAAAAACACACCTCAAAGTTCATGGAAATGGGTGGACGGGCCCACTTCTTCTTATCATTAGTGGGCAGCAGCTCAATCTCAGCACTGATCTGAGACTCCTTCATTCCTGCCATGCGTTTGATCCTGAGCAGAAAGACCGACAGGGTGACATGAGTATAATCACACAAGCACCAAACACAGAGAAATGTCAAGATGCCGGTGGCACTTACTTCCACACGATGGCATTCTCACTGGCCTTGTATTTGGCTTTTCCTTTCATACAGATCACCTGCACTCCGCTAGTGTTCAGAGGTGTAGGAATACGCACCTGTCCAAAACATTCACCTCGTATATCATCTGACAAACTCTTTCACAAACAAACTGCCTGTGACGTTAAGTCTATATATTCTCTTTTAACTGACCTCTATTTTCTGTGCCAGGAGCGAGGGCTTGAAATTAGATTTGATGACAACTTTGACCTCCAGCTTTGTGCGGCCGACCTCTCGAACCAGTGGAATGACCCGGAAGGGCAGAATTATGTCCTTAGTGGTGCGATACCTGCACACGCAGATCGAAAACGAGTTACGACAGAGTCAGACTCTAGAGTGTGAAGACAGACGGATGCTGAACTGACCTCATGAGCTCATACTCCCCATCAGGAGGGATGAAACTGATGCTGCGCTCCGAGTCGAACTTGCTGAGACGCACACACTGATGGAAAGTGCAGTCGTCGATGGCTATGGACTGTTTCCCACTGTTAAAAATGATAGAGAAACGAAGATGATGAGAGCTTGATATTTGAATCCGACGTTTCTAAGACATTTGGCATAATTAGCAAATACTAGAATAAACTGTACTTGCAAATGAAATTGTCAACAACAAAATACAATATCAGAAATCAAATCAAATTAAGTAAAATCACAAGTTTTCAAAATTACCGCTAAAAATGTCATACTTCTAAAAACTAGAGAGGCATTGATCAATCTCATTTACAGATATGAAACCTACGCTACTATTCAAAAGTTTGAGTCGGTAAGTTTGAAATTTTAAAAGAAATTAATACTTTTATTCAGCAAGGATGCATTCAATTTATCAAAAGTGACAGTAAAGACATTTATAATATTTCAAATAAATGCTCTTACTTTGTTTGTTAGTACGGTTTTCCACAAAAACAACAAACATAATAATAAATGTTTCTGGAGCAGTAAATCAGCATATTAGAATGATTTCTGAAGAATCATATGACACTGACGACTGGAGTAATGATGCTGAAAATTCAGCTTTGATCACAGGAATAAATTAGATTTTAAAATGTATTACAATAGAAAAGTTATTTTGCATTGTTATAATATTTTACAATATTACTGTTATTACTATATGTATCGAATAAATGCAGCCTGGGAGAGAATAAGAAAAAATCTTACCGACTCCAAACCTTTGAATGGTAGTGTACAATGCTGTTTAAAAAATTGTTTAGAATGAAATCTTTCATTTCAGAAATCAGTTGTCAAAACAAATTCAAAATCTGTAATCTGGCATTGAAAAAGAGTAGTGAGATGGAATTGGGAAGAAAAATGTATAATGATACACTAATTTGAAAAATGCTAATATTGGTCAATGTATATAATGTATAAATATGAACTACATGAAAACAGTAATAAAAGACACTCATATGTTGTATAGTTTAACATCAGAACTAACATAAAACTGAACACAGAAATATAAAAATACAATACCTTCCCCCTAACTCACTGTGGTAGCACAGAGAAAAAGAGACGCAACAAAAACAGACAGCTTCAAAACTCAAACTAAACCACACGCTTTACAATCAAACATTTCTTTTGCAATTCTGGATCGAGAAACACAAAATCCAGACAAACAGAATTTTCAAAGCAAATAAGAGAGGAGACAGACGAGCAAAAACTCTGCATAAACATGAGGCACTTTGAAACCTTTTCACAGGATCGTCAGTAGTTCCTCCTTTCCCCTGTTTGTCAATGACGATTTTGTCATTCATGCCAAACTTGCATTCAGGCATTCCACTCAGATAGCTCTTCATCACCACACGACCGGAGACGTGAGCGCTCAGGACCTGACCTGTCGGGATGACACGCAGCAGCATGTGAATGGTCTGGCTCGAATAACTACAGGCACACACTCAGCATGAGATCTCAGGGAATGCGGCCTCACCCTGTGGAGACATGAGCAGGTTGACGCTCTCCAGCACATCCAGGAAGAGCTCGTTACGGCGGTACTTGATGCCTTCACGACGCCAACCGATTTGCCCGGTCACCTGGCTGGTGATCTGAGACTGCTCCTCCTTAGTCTGAGGACAATGATGGATCACCAAAGATTTAGGAAGGTCCTAGACTACTTTGAAGTGTGGTAGAAATGTCCAAATACTTTGGGAACACTAGTATAACAGTGTAACCTGAGAAGGTTACTTCTTAAAATGAAATACATTTACACATACCTGATGCTGCAGTCAGGCACATCCAGAAAAGCAAGGAAAAAAAGATAAATGTTTTATATTAGAATGTGCACAGACAACATGGGCAGAGCTCCAAAAAAAAAAAAAAAAAAATGGAAAATTAAAAATGAAAAAAGAAAAGAAAAATGCTGACCCACAGTTTTCTGTAATATTTGATTGCAAAAATTCTGGCTGTCAACTTTCTAAACTGTCAGCAAAATTTATTTGTAAAGGAAACTTATAATTGTATAAAAACAAAACATTTGTGTGTGAATTTTTTATTTTTTCACACACACACACACACACACACACACACACACAGAGTATATAAAAATGAAATATTACAATGTTTAAATGTTCATTTTAGAAATTTAAAATGTGCTGATAAAAAAATATTTGTGGAAAAGAAATCAAATGTTATATATCATTTTATATTATATATAATAAAATGTTTAAATGTTTAATTTTAAAATGTTTTTGATAAAAAAGCATGTGTAAAAAATAAAAAATATATATATCATTTTAAAAATGTACATACAATGAAAATATTGGAAAGGCAAGTATCTAAACTACTGGCCTGACTTTCAGGATGTCAACAAAAAGAGGTTCCCCAATGTAATTCTGGTGTCACATTAGTGTTTTAAAAATAAAAATAATTATTTTATTAGAAGTAGTCTTTCTTAGCACACTCTGCTGGTGCTTACATAATACTGCAATACAATTTAAGTCATAAAACGTTTTGTTTTTTTTTTGGACTCAAAAAAATCTAAAAAGGAAAAAAGTGGCACAAAAGGCATATAAAATGTGAATTTCTATATATTTTTTTTTACCTGGCCTTTGATGCCCTGCTGGGTAATAAAAGTCTTCAGTGCTCCGGTCTCCGAGTTCTGCGGGTATCCAAAGTCCAGGATCTCTGCAATCACACACACAAAGAAATAAATTAATCATTATTCTGGAATGAGACACTTGACACTTCAAGGGCTGTTTAAGCAGACTTTGTTAACATGTTTCATATGTTTAGGTAACCGTTTATTTTTTCAGCAGTTAGACGAGGTTTCCGGGCCAGCTCATGGTTTAAGACGCACCTTACCGCCAACAGCGCATGACAGCCAGGAAAGCATGCCATTTAAAGGAGGGTGAGTTTGTTAACACGGGCACATGGAGGATCAGATAGAACTGAGGGAGAACAGTGTCAGCAAATGCTTTGTGTGTTTCTGAACCAGTCTTACCATCCAGCAGCTCGTAGATCAGCACAAAGTTGTTCTTGATATTCTCCTCGCTGATCTTCCCAAAGTAGGCGCTCATGACGTCACACATCTTGTAGAGGAACTCGAACACCATAGCGGCGTTGACATTCTGCTTGGTGACAGCAGCCAGCCAGATGTTGGAGCGTTTGATGTGGAAGAAGCTGGTGCGGGCGATGTTTGTGACGGGGGAGCGCACCTGCTGACGGGCATGGATCACGTTCACGCGGAACGCATCCACAGCATTGCGTCTGTGGAGGAGATTTTGAACATCAGGTCAAGGTTGAGATAATGGAGTTGGGCAGGAAGAGTGAGCATATGGTCACCATCTGCCAGTAAACCCTGCCAGACAAACATTCCTTCTGTCTGCGAACAAAGCATTAAAAGGATGTTCCCTGCTGACCCAAACCTTCATGAACCTCAAGATAAGTAACAAGCTCCTGTAGACAAAAGAGCTCTTGCCTGTCTAAAACAAATAAGACAACTTCTTATGAAGAGATTCTTATACAAAGAGAGTCCAATAAAAGTTCTTCTTTTAAAAACATTTTTTGGCAGATATTCTTACTCTATCCAGGTTAATCTGTTGCAACTGCGATCCAATAATCATCAAGGCCAAAATTAGCAAAGTTTATTAAAGAAAGTTTTAAGACAAGCATTTAATTCAAAAAGTGCATATGTCGTCAAAATATCCAAGATACACAAAACTCACTAAAAATGTGTCATCTCATGCCTGAGTGCAATCAAAAGGGAAAGGGCATCATGGTAATTTCAGTCTGCTGCTGATGTACTTGCATATCTTCACAATATTTGATTGACTGAAGTATGTCAGGTGACATGCTTGCAGTAGAGCTGGGCAATATGAATATTTACAATACATTCAAAATGCAACAGATGATAATTCAAAATTTAACAAAAATGTGTTATTCTTGTAGTGTTTTACATCCTTTACCATTTGTCCTAAATTTTTCTAAAAACCATGTTATTAGGACAGTTTTGTGCCCATTACGAAATATCACAACTCCCCCCTAGTGTCACAAATCCTGAGGATATTGTTTGAGAATATCAGTATTGTTGAGAGGTTTAATTAATTTATACAAACCAGTTCTTCTATAGTTGATTTGAGCCAAACACTGATTTAAAGGGCCTTCACTCAAAACTGTACGTGGAAGTCTATGCATGTTATTTTTTGTTAACAATGGTTTAAAGACTGTGACATTGTTTTAATTTTTTTGTTGGCCCCTGAGAGTTATACATTTATGAATCTAAGCATGCTTCCTAAAGGCTTGTTCACACCGGGACGAATATCGCGAGCGATTATCGCCGACGTTTAACGCCTCGTGACTAAACAAAAGGCGCCAATGTGAGTGTGCACACCAATGCGAAAAACGCGAGGCATAAAAGCACCATTTTTTAAAAACCGCCTCGGGCTCGTTTTTTTGGTTTGACGCGCCGTGTTAAAAACTGGCCGACCAATGAGATTGGCGCTTTTGTTCACGTGCCTGGAGCTGAAGTTACAGTAAAACACGACTTGGTGGCGCTCAAGCACAAAACGGTCTTGCCGAGCACACATTGATACCTAACGATAAAGAGGAAGTAAGTAGACAAAGAAGATGCATCGAGGCAAGATGAATGTAGAGCTGCTGGTCTCATTGGTGTATGAACACAAAGAGCTTTATGACAAACGCGACAGCGACTACAAAAATCTCGATAAGAGGGAGTTGTTATGGAGAGGAATTGCAGATCAAATAGGATTCGATGTGTACCGGGTTATTTCTGTTTTTCATTAAGCGCCATCTAATGTCAGGGAGTGAATTTGCACGTTCACTCGGCTCATCACCAGCAAAAATCACTTGGGTACGAACACAAAAGACGCGTCGGAAAACGTCGGCGATAAGAGCGCGCGATAATCGTCCTGGTGTGTACGAGGCTTTAGAATGACATGTTCTCCATATGTAAAATTTTTTGAAGCATTTTGATAATGCACTTTAAAGATATAAGAAAATTACTGTTATCTTTTTTATGATTACTTTAATAAATCGGCATGGTAACACCGTGTAAGATATCTAAAATCTGTTTGCAATTTAGTATCTTGGCATCATGTTGACAAAGTTTGGTGTGAATTGCATGATTCTCCTAGGAGTATGCATTCATTCACAACCTGATTTTTCAAAAAATCCACATTCAAATCAAAATAGCCGTCTTCCTGCTGGTTGTAGATAATGAAAGTAAATTAGAAAGTTGTCCGGCTGATGAGAACAATATATGTACCAAGTTTGGTGTCTGTAGCTAAAACTAACCCAACTTTTGTCAAAAGGTGGCGCTATAGAGCGCCTGCTCCATGCCCATTTATGAGCTTTTGCCAGTGTCTAACTCTCATTAATACTGATGTGTGTGTTGAGTTTCATGAAATTCTGAGCATGTTAAGTGCCTCTAAAACACCAGAAAATAATTTAAAGTTTGATGCATTGCCATGGCAACAGTAGTTAAGATATCAAGAATATCTTCACAGTTTTACATTGGCCATGTTTTGACATCATTCTGATGAAGTTTGAAACAAATCAGGTAAAAATAAGAGGCTGATTTCCAAGCATTTTAAAAATGACACTTTCTGCTACCAGTTGGTGGTGCTATGACTGAGAATCAAAATAGTCACATCTATGTGATCGGCATCATACAACGAACAAACTGCTGAAGTTTGATCGAAATCAGACAAAGTATGCTGAAGTTATAACACACTTCCTGTTTCCATTTTTTCGCCATAGATTTTTTTGCCCTGCCACGGCCAAGCCGTTCGACATATCAAAAATTCCTTCATAATTTAGCATCCCCAATGTCTTGAGATCACATTGACTGAGTTTGGTGACGATCGGATGAAAAACCTAGGAGTATTGCAAATTCCACAGCATGTGTTTTTCACAAAACCCAGAATAGCTGACTTCTTGTTGGGCAAAGCTAATGACATGCAGTGCGAAATTTGTTGGGGATGATGAGATCTATATGTGTGGGAATTTTGATGACTGTAGGTAAAAGCACAGTGTGTGCTACAGAGCCCCTCAAAATTGGCCCTATAAAGCAGTGTGCCACGGGCCAGATGGCCGCAGATTCCAATGCGTGTGCCAAGTTTCTAGAGTATTTGAGCATGTTAGGGGCCACAAAAGCCTCCGAAACCTTGAAATTAATTAATAGTAATAATAATCCATAGAAGAAAAAAACTAATAATGACTATCATACATTTTTACCATGATTTACAGAAAAAAATTATTTTGTGTAATAATAGTTTGTATACCAAAAAGTCTTGTCAGGCATATTCAGAACCAGAATCATAAGATGACAATAAAAGACCATTTAAGGATTACAGTGCAGCAACAATATATTAATTAATTACAATCTGTCAGCTACAGGTTTTTAATCATTTAAAATATAATAAAATTTAGTATGATCATATATTCTTTTATATATTTTAATAAGTCAGAATCAGTATGTTGTTTAATTTTTACATTAATATGTTACACTGATTGACTTGTTATTTTAATTTGAGGTGCACACCAAATAACTAGTAAAGTAACGCATTACTTTTTTAATTTACAAGAAAATATCTGAGTTACTTTTTGCTACAAAGTTACGGCAGTTACTTTGTTTTCCCATTTATTGGGAGAAATCGGAAGTGCAGAGGCGTTGTGTGTGTGTGTGTGTGTGTGGCGATGATGAAAACCATTTTCATACCAATTCAAACCATTTCTATCCTCGCGTAATCTTATTTTAAAAATGTGTTCATACCTACTTAGTGTCCGCACGAATAGGCGCGGAATGGAGCGTTCCCTCTCCGTGGTATTTTTCGGGATCTGAAGGATTAGCGGGACACTAGCAGCAGCGGTCCCTCCCTCGGGCAGGAAGTCAGCTGACAGAGTTCACAGTGCGCATGCGTGTTACGAGCGGCAACGCAACTGAAGATTTTGCATATTGTTTTTTTTAATTATTATTATTATCGCATAAATAGTTATACTGCATTCTCCGTATTTAGTTATTTTCTGTATTTTTGCCAAATAAAAGCGCAGGTCATTAATATTAATAACGTTAAGATGACGTTGCCCCTTGAAGCGCCCAATAACGTACCTAATTAATATTCATGAGCCAAGTCTTCGTGTGATGTGGATGAATGCACGCTCAGGGAGCAGGTCATGGACCAACACCAATTCTAGACTTTACATGTATAGAGTAGAGAGCAGAATTAAAAAAAGATATACAATTTATAAAAAATCACCACATGCATTAGCGCACATGATATAAGAGTGTTTGTCTGAGTCAGTCAGAATCAATGGTTACGCACTGCAAATGTGGACGAGTTCTTTGTAACATTTGTATCATTAATGCTGAAAGTAATATTTGTAGTCATTATATAAACAGACTCATTTCCTGCTCTTCACGCAGGCCAGGAGATCATATGCACGCCTCTGTTTTCTTCTTTTAGTAATGCGCTTTGCATCTGCTTTTTTAAATGCTGTACTCTGTCAAACAAATAACTTTAAAATAAAATATTAGATCATCTGCTGCAAGAAGGAAACATGTATGCCATAAATATTAGTATTCTGGTAAACACAAAGTCAAAGCACATGCAGCGAGTAGGTTGATGCTGCTGGGACACAATTAACAAAGACTTTCTTGTCTTAAATCAAAGGATTCTGCTCACTGAATTCTGTATCAGCCTACGCACACTTGTTTCATTCCTTTTTGTTTTATATAATCTCATCAGTTCAATAAAGAATGGGCATATGTTGCTAGTAAACTACTAACGCTTTACTTTTCGGTTGAGAACATGGTTGCTGATTTAAAAAAAAAAAAAAGATTAAAATCGGATAAAAATGCAAAGTGTGTGTGACGTCACCGACAGGCTGGAGAGCGCGAGCGCGCATTCAGAGACTCACCTCAGCATCACAAGATGGGCAACGTTCAAGTGAGTAAAACAAGTGCGGTTTGTTTCTTTTTCTCACTTTTCTCAGTTTATTTCACTACATATGGGCTGTTATTAGTTTGTCTTACGGATGCAGCAAATAAATAGACTGCATTTAAAAATGCTTACACGCAAACGAGTTTCTCGCTTGACATTTCGATGTTTAATTCGGATGTTTTAACCTTTTTTTGTACTCGTTGATTATTAAAATTTCAAAACGCAATATTTTTTGAAATATTTAGTCATTTTTTTCCCTTATACACATTTTATATTTACTATTATTTCTTGTATTTTACTGTGATTTGAGCAGTGTTATACTCTCTTAGAGG